TATGCCATAAACAAAGTCCTCACATCTCAATGTTGGTAGGTTCTTATTTTTATTTTTATTTTATTTAAGAGCCTTAGGAATGCCATTGACTCCATTTATAAGTTCTGATTATATTCCTATCAATTTTGACTGTTATTTTGAATGAAAAACTATAACCTGTTGTCATTTCTTCTATGTATGCTATATCTGTTCCTCTCATTTTGTTTTGGTTTCTACTTCTAAATTAAAGTACATCTGCTTAACAAGCTACCAGCATCTTTTAGATTGTTTTTACAGTATTATTTGAAGTATCATTTTGAATGTTTTTACAGTATTATTTGAAGTATCATTTTGAATGCAGTGTTTCAAACAAAATAGGCTATTTGGGGGCACCGAATTCAAGCTTGTTCTCTCGGGATTCCTTGAATGCTCTATTCTGTGCAGGCCCATCTCAAACTTCACATCGCAGCAGGGGAACAAGATTTATAGTTAGAGCAGATTCTGTGAGTATAACAAACATTGGTCGGACTTTTTCTTCCATGAATTAAGAGGTCTAATGAATGAATACTCATTAACTGTTTCATGCATTCTTACATCCAGGACTTTTATTCTGTTCTAGGGGTGTCAAGAAATGCGAGTAAATCAGAAATTAAAAGCGGTATCTACACTTGTATTTTCTTTCTTCTTTTTTCCTTGTAAACTGTTGTATGTGTATTGTTTCTGTTTGTTTTATGTGCTTTTCTCATCATTTTTATGGATTTGAGATTCAAAAAACCTAAACTCTATATCTATTTATAGAGCTAATTGCTTGCATATTATGATATCCAGTTCTTACTTCTCCCTTAGCCTGGCATGTTTATCTCATTCTTCCCCCACATGTATGTATGGGTAAAAGTGCACGAAGGAATATATTGCATGTGTGCAGTCTAACTAGTTGAATGAATAATACTCTTTGTTCTTAGTATGGATGGAGGACCCCCAAATCCTGGATTTGTAGAGCTGGGAAATATAATAGGAACACCTCTACTGTATGAGGACTGTTTTCTATTGTGATGATCTGCATCACTTCTTCGACCAAGAAGAAATGCATAATTTTTTCCTTTTGGGGGTGAAGAAGTAAGGAATAGGCAGCTATTTGAAGTAGTTGGAGAATGAGTTTTCTCATTCATAGGAATCTTTGACCCAATGTAACTTGGTTGTAAGCTTTATTTTTTATGATATGTGACATTCTCCACCCTCTTGAGATGAGGTTTTTAAAAATTACAATGACATCTTCTAGATATTCCATGTGTTCTAAAGTTTTTTGGGGATTTCATATTATCTTTACGATTGGATGGCTGTAATTAACATACATTACAAAGTAAAGCCTTCATATTGGGACCTAATATGTGAAATGCTTTGGTATTTGTACAAGTCAGAAAATAAAATTTAGCTTCTATCATTCTTTGGATACATAAAGCATCTATTGTGATGTTTGTGTGCTTGAAAGATCGAATAACTTATAATTAGTGGCTTCAAGCGTTGAATAAATCATGGTTTGTGGCTTTTGGGGTTTTCTTGTGTTATTTTTTTTCTTCTTCTGGATTATCGTCATCTAATTTTTCTTCTGCATATTTCTCACTTTTCAGCTTATCGGAAGCTTGCAAGAAGTTATCACCCAGATGTAAACAAGTGAGTCAGTTGTGCCAGCTAATTTTTGACTAGTAGTGCTTACCCTTTGTTTTTTCTCCTCTCCCTTAATGTTACTATCTACCCGTTATTCTCTGTATTTGGTCCTATAAAAAGAGGGTTATCTCAGTTCATTATGTTGCAATTGAATGTTAAGAACATAAGACGGATCTCTACGTGCTCAGTTTCCATTAGAGATTTGGACGTGTAATATAGTGCTGGATAGTATGTACACACTTAGTAGTCAAACCATAGAATTTTAGGACAGAATGCTTGAAGGTTCATGGTTACTTTATTCTTTTATATGCAGAAGAATATTCTCCCAAGACCTTGGCTATATTCATATCCTTTGTCAATAGTAGAGATCTTTTAAGTGTTCTTTTTTTCCTTTTTCCCTATTCAAGTCAGTTTAAAGGTTTGTGATGATGATGATGGGCTAGAAATGATGAGAGGCACATTCTAATTCTAGTTTGTTTCATCTTTAGAATTTGGGATCTGTGCTGATGCGGTAAAGCTAAAGCTGCTAGAGATGTCATATGTTTTTGGGATTTAGCGACTTGTGATTTAAGTCTTAGGCTTGCGAAGAAAATGCATTAGGGGTTCGGTAGAGCAAATTAGAGTTCAAATGAATATTTGTAAAGTGGGAAAACAAGTGTGGATGTGAAAAGGGCAGCTTGTGAGAAATCACTTGCTGTCTATTTTCTTGGGGCTATGTGGCTGTTTTAAAATTGGTGGACCAGAATCTGGCCAAAATTCCTCTGCTCCTCATCTCACCACTCATGCTGAATGACTGGGAGAGAATTTAGTTTAGTGAGTTTTCTTGACTTGTTTTGTAATATTTTATTTATTCCTGAAAAGGGGTTCGGTAAGAGGAACCTTAAATTTAAGGACACAAAACATGATTGAAGCATTGAGGTTGGGCTGAGTTTTACATCTCTAGCTCGGGATGCACAGCTATAAATTTTGTTTTTTTTTTTCCCTAAAATGGTGGAAGCTATTCCGTCTGAGCAAAATGCCCACGTTTATGGATCTACCTCAGGATTCAGGACAAATAATCTAATTGGGCAGTACATGTGAATCTTTTTGCAAACACTCTGTCATAGAAATGATGGAGATATAATCATGTCCGGATTTTTGAAAGTTGATGTGTTGGCCCACCTCATCTCTATGTCGAGTCATGTAATCATGTCTGGATATATGAGGTTTGATATCCTACCTATGTATATCTGTTTAGCAAGGCGAAAACTGTTCAATTTAGTTTATCAATCTATGTGGTATGTGTTCTCTGTTTTCATTTTGTGGGAACTGTATGTTCTTTGTTGCAGAGAACCAGGGGCAGAAACAAAATTCAAGGAAATCAGTAATGCATATGAGGTAAAAGCATGGCTTTGAAAGGTATCATTGACCTGGTGGCCACTATTATAGTAGTTATATTAAATTTATTAATCTTCGCAGGTCTTGTCTGATGACGAAAAACGATCGCTATATGACAAGTATGGAGAGGCTGGAATTAAAGGTGCTGGTATGGGTACTGGGGTAAGTACCTTTCAAACTGATGATGGGGAATATTATCTCTTCATTTGCATCTCTACTTTCTTACAGTGGGACGATGAACTGTGATGTTTCAGGATTTCAGCAATCCATTTGATCTGTTCGAGTCCCTATTTGAGGGCATGGGCGGTATGGGTGGGATGGGCGGAATGGGGGGCAGGGGTTCTAGGAGTCGAGCGGTTGATGGCCAGGATGAATATTATAATCTTGTCTTGAACTTCAAGGAAGCAGTTTTTGGGGTTGAAAAGGAGATTGAAATTAGCCGGTTGGAGAGCTGCGGGACTTGCAATGGTTCTGGTGCTAAACCAGGCACCAAGGCATCCAGATGCAGCACATGTGGTGGGCAAGGTCAGGTTGTTCAATCAGCAAGGACTCCGTTAGGTGTCTTCCAACAGGTCATGACGTGCTCATCATGCGGTGGGACTGGGGAAACATCCATCCCTTGTAACACTTGCTCTGGAGATGGTCGGGTGAGGAGGACAAAGCGGATCAGTCTGAAAGTTCCAGCTGGTGTGGACTCTGGGAGCCGTTTAAGAGTCCGAAATGAAGGTAATGCTGGAAGACGGGGCGGGTCTCCTGGTGACCTATTTGTTATTATAGATGTCATCTCAGACCCAATCCTCAAACGTGATGATACCAACATATTGTACTCCTGCAAGGTATCTTATATAGATGCAATTTTGGGAACTACAATTAAGGTTCCAACAGTGGACGGGATGGTTGATTTGAAGATTCCAGCTGGCACCCAACCGAACACGACCCTTGTGATGGCTAAGAAAGGCGTTCCCCTCTTAAACAAAAGCAACATGAGAGGTGACCAGCTCGTCCGCGTGCAGGTCGAAATCCCAAAGAGATTGAGCACCGATGAGAAGAAGCTCGTCGAAGAACTTGCGAGTCTAAGCAAGGGCAAGGCTGCAAGCCGGAGGTAGTTTCTTTTGTGGCCCTTTGTTTCATCGATACAGAACTGGCCCTGGAGGTAGTTTCTTTTGTGGTTCTTTGTTCCATCGATACAGAACTGGCCCCGTCAGTTCGATTATATTCTTCCTTGATGCGCATTGTGGACCGCAGCAATTTTGATTTAGTTTTGTGAGGGGATCATATCTGTAGTCGTAGGTAGGACACTAGTTTGTTTTCTCATACCATGTATTTTCAACCTAATGCTTATTTATTCTTTGGGATTAAACATAAATTATATGATGTTACAAGGAATGTTTTCTTCATATTAGTTTAAGATGCAACGAGTGTTATATATATAGGCCTTTTATCGAAAGTGTTCCCCACTTTTGGGTAAAAATGGGGACTAGTTGTAGGGTTCATTCTACGTCAAATTTCAATGCAATAATCCAAACTATTTATTTTGCATGTCTCAATTAATAGATCATTCTTGCAAAAATTTCATTTTATCCGAAAACATTTGTCTATTCAATTATCACAATGAAATTTCATTGTTTCTTATAGAGCATAGTGTTAGTTAATTTATTTGAACTCAATTAGGTGTTTCAAATATTTTCGATTTGGCTAATATTTTGCAAGGATGATCTATATGATGTCCAACTTGAAAAATAGATGGTTTAGATCGTTCAAATTCGATATAGTGTGAGCCCCACAACTAAATCAATTAATTTATAACAGGTTCTTCAAAATTAAATCAGTTAATTTCTGGGCAGCCGCAACACTACATTCATTCAATCCGACAATCGAACCCTACTTTCAGGTAAACACAAATTCTATTATCCTGGTGACGTAAACAGGAAATAATAAGCAGAAACGGTAGCTTTTTTAAAAACACAGGCAACACTATATAGAAAGGGTAATACAAATAATATTAAAGGATGTGCTAATTACAGTACAAAATCTGCTTCCTCAAAGACCAGATCGAAAAGCCTCGACATACAAATACCGACTATTTTAACTGCTACCGGAAAAAAAGAGAACGAAGGGAAAAACAGGGATGACTGCATTGGGAAGCACAAGACACCAGTAAAACTTTCAAGAGAAGAGATGGACCGACCAAAACCAAATCAGAATTTGCGACCGGCCGCACCAGAATCCCGCATCTCCCATGATGGTCTACTCTCTTTCGCAATATCACTCTTGATTGCTCGTTCTATCGGCTTAATGACACAGAAATACTATTCACATCAAAAGACAAATGAATATAGATATTAGTCCCTGCATCAATGGAGAAAAGATAAGCACCCCAGGTAATAAAACGGAAGCTCACCTGGATCGCTAAAAAGAGAGGGATTAACAACTTCCCCTTATCATTGGGGTTCGGTCCCTCGATCAATTTCTTGTCGACATGAATAGACTTGCTTCCGTTCAAGATAACTTCCGTCATTGTTTGGACTAAATGAGATATCCAAGCAGTTCCATTTGGAAGAACCTGTTACCGAACAACAGCCAACCAAACAAAGATGGAATGATACACAACTGTATTTCAGGAAGAACAACTGTAAGCCTGAGTCATGACATGAGGAAAATAACTAACCTTTTCGTCATTTTCATTCTTGTTACATCTCCCACTGTTCTCAACCAAAACAACAGGAATAGTCGAAGCCTAGAGAGAATACAGTAACACTTTCAGAAATATGAAAGGCTTTGCAAGCACACAAGGCCTTCCTGGAAAAGTAATTCAAAACGAAAGAACGAATTTGTTTCCGCCATTCACCATTACTTGTAAGATGGATTAACATAACTTGAAACCTTTATCTTCTATTTTAAATGTAAAGGAAAAGAGAAACACGAGATTGAGCAAAGCGTGTATAAATATGTTACCCCATAGAAAAAGTATGACACCCAAACAAAACTCCTGTTATGATATTCTACTTCATAAATCTTCCTGTTCCTTCTAAATCATTAGAAATTATAATTACCACTGCTTAGACTTCAATTCACTTCTGAACATCAAGTGAAATTTGAAGTCCAGACTCCTAGCATGATAACATAAACCTCATAGCTATTAGTGTATTCACATACAAAGTCAAATTTGACGTGTATTTATTTGAAGGTTTAGTATAAATTAAGACGCATTAATGAACTCAATAGTTACACATTGGGGTCCCATCATGCCACCACTTAATTGCAAGTGCTATGCAGCAACTCAGCAACCAATCCTACACCTTGTAGAATACTCTAGTTTACATATGTATCGCCCACATCCCATCAACTTCACATTGATGTATTGTTGGTACATACCATAACAAACAAAATAATTGTCACTTTAGAAATATAAAACAAAGGATGGATTGAAAACTTAAGTCATACATCAAATTCATCAAAAGAACAAGAAACTCATGGAACCCAGTAAAGGTATGCAACAACAACAACAACAACCAAGCATTGTCCCACTAAGTGGGGTCGGCTATATGAATCCTAGAACGCCATTGCGCTCGGTTCTGTGTCATGTCCTCCGTTAGATCCAAGTACTCTTTTCTTAGAGTCTCTTCCAAAGCTTTCCTAGGTCTTCCTCTACCCCTTCGGCCCTCTACCTCTGTCCCGTAACCGATTTTCTCTCATCTTTCCTTCAATTTCGGCTACACCTACTTTACCTCGGATATCATCATTCCTAATCTTATCCTTCTCGTGTGCCCACACATCCAACGAAGCATCCTCATCTCCACTACACCCATTTTATGTATGTATTGATGCTTCACCGCCAACATTTCGTGCCATACAACATCGCTGGCCTTATTGCCATCCTATAAAATTTTCCCTTGAGCTTTAGTGGCATACGGCGGTCACACAACATGCCAGATGCACTCTTCCACTTCATCCATCCAGCTTGTATTCTATGGTTGAGGTCTCAATCTAATTCTCCGTTCTTTTGCAAGATAGATCCTAGGTAGCGAAAGCGGTTGCTCTTTGGTACTTCCTGATCTTTGATCCTCACCCCTAACTCATTTTGGCCTCCATTTGCACTGAACTTGCACTCCATATATTCTGTCTTTGATCGGCTTAGGCGAAGACCTTTAAATTCCAACACTTTTCTCCAAAGGTTAAGCTTCGCATTTACCCCTTCCTGATGTAACCCTGCAGTTATGGGGAAGACTACATTTTTTTTTTCTTTTATAAAGGACAAATATGAACATATACATAATTCACAAGACACTACTACAATATTTCGTGTCCCAATTTAATCCCATAAAATTACCCTTCTGTCTAGGCATCAAGCTCCGACGTAAAAAACCTATGTAAACATGACCATATACATAATTCAGAACAACTATTTTGAAGATTTTGGGGTGAGCTAGAACCTCCTTATGAAAAAGTCATGCATATCATTCAACACGGTCAGACACAAAATCTATCATATTCATCTAATTTCCAGGTCTTAAGCATGGAAACCACTTGCACTACTTAAGTACTACCCCACACATCACACCCCCACACCACCACCACCCCCCCCACCCCCCCCCCCCCCCCCCCCCCCCCAAAAAAAAAAAACACAAGTAACAAAGGCATGTCCTGCAAAGGTTTAAGCGTCCATGTCGCATAAACCAGAATGTTGAGTATTTCTCTTCCCTATTTGAAGCTCATGCATTACCAAAAAGAAAAATCTACCCTTCACACAGTTCACGTACTTTCAGATTAATAGTCTAACAGGACATTAAAAGTTCCTGCCTTATGCCTTCAACAAAATAACCATAATGCCAATTACATCCAAAAAAAAAAAAAAGGAGGAAGATATGGAACTTAAAACACTGCCTAAACTTGGGAGGAAGAGATTGCTCACCTGTGCATCCTGTTTTTTCAATCCAGCACCAAGACGGACAATTTTTAGAAGAGCCTCAGATCTTTTGGAGACAAAGTCATCATAAGCATAACCATCTGGTGGTGAGAGCTGAGCATGTGTTAGAACAACCAAAGCCCTATTCCATATTCCCTTACCGAAACTATCTGTTATGGCTTTGACAACCTCCTTATCCAGGTTGTCCACCCTATAAGCATCCAATCGATCCACATAGAGTAGAACGTCTACGGTCTTATTCAAAAGGAAACTGCTCAAGAATACCACCAATAGAACTTATAGTCAATTAGTATTATCAAAAAAATTCTTGAACAAGAGCCCGCAGTGCATTTCCACAAGAGACTGAAAAGATTTTTAAAAACATAAAGCATGAGCTAACCTTTTAATATTATTAAGAGCCATGTCACTAACATATCCTCCTTCTATGAGCCCAGGGGTGTCAATGATGTTTAATGTAAACCCTGCCCTTGAACGTGAAAACATCAAAGGTCTTGTTCCTTCAGACTAGATAGAAACAACAAACAAAAATCCAAAGAGTATTTACAAAGGCAAACAAAAGAATCAACTGAATCCAGACTAAAACAAAAGCAAGACAAAAAAAACCTGAAAAGGACTGATGGGAACAGCCCTTTCACCAAGGAGCGAATTGACAGTGGATGATTTTCCAACCCCGCCTTTCCCCATCACTAGAACAGTCAAACTGTTCACATTCTATACATGCACCGCACAAGAGTAAAGAAAGTTAAAATTTAATTACACAAATAGAAAAAAGATAAATTGAATTTGAGTACTAAACTAAAATAGCAAGGAAATTGAACCTCTTGCTTGAGTTTTCCCAGCAATTCAAGCAACTTAGTCTGAGTGGCGGGTGCGAAGCTATTTATTCCAGCCCATTCTCTAATCATCTGGGATGCCATGGCTCAATCTCTGTTCTAGCGCTGAAAACAAAACATGGAAATAAAACTAAATACTATAGTAATGTTTTCTTTTTGGGTAATGAAGGGTCCATTTGATAACAGTTTTGTTTTTGGTTTTTAGTTTTCATACGAAGTAGTTTCCTTTTTCAAGTTTTTGTTTCATATATTCTCCTTCATTCCTCCCACCACCCTTATTCAACCATCCTTACTCCCACACAGTTCCCTTATATCTCTGGCCAAAATAAAACCAATCTGAAAACGAACGGGCCTCAAGTATCTGAGGTGTCAGAAATCAAGTATTTTGAAGCGCAGCTTAATACAGAATAGTAGATAGGACTAACCGACCCTTCAAAATTTGTTTTCAATAAATGGGAAGACAAAGCACTGAGCTTTAAATCTTCCTCAGCGCTTCGATAAAAACCACCCAAGCACCCAATGGAATTAGTAAATGAACGACCTTTACCTTATCCCCTAATTTGATTTTACTTGACAACCCCAAACAACAATCTGTTGGCTTCGTCTAATCCCTGAATTCAAATTAACAAAGGAATTTCACTAGCTGTAAATTTGAAAGCAATGCTATACAATCTGCAGTAAATTGCTGCAACTCTAAGTGATATAATCAACACCACGCATACAAATTCTTAGCTAGCAGGCAACATTCGCTTGGCAGTAACCAGATAAATTAACTTCAAAGTGTATGAACTGAATGGTGATAAGTTTTTCTATAGAGCATTAAAAATCGTAGAACGTTCCTTGCCAAGCCCACATGGACTAAATTCAGATACACCTTTGAAGCACCAAACCCACAAACAATTTACACAAAACCCCATATATCAGAATTGAACATGGTGTCTGTGGTGATGAATTTTACTATTTTAGGGCTGAAAATGAAGCAAAGAAATGAAATTTAAAGAGAAATACCTCTGAAAGATAGAGACTTACTTACCCTTTTGACTGTGGTATTAAGACGTGGGAGACACAGATGGAGGAACCAGCTAGAGGGAGGGAGGGAGAGAGAGAGGTGGGTATGGTGAGGATGAGTGGTACCTTTGTTGCAATCTCAATTCCCGGATAAAACAAAATTGGTGTCGTTTCCTTTATTTTATTGTCGGTCGCTCGGCTTAATTGTTTCATTATTTTCTTTTTCAAGGGTCATGGGTCGGTGAAATTAATGAACTATTCATGTGCAAACGATATTATTTATGCTATGTGTATCGATTTTTGCACTTGCAGCTGATGGGATTCTCACTCGAAGTGAGACTGTAATATATGCCATCTCATTTCTTTTGCACAATAATTTATAAAATTGACACGAGATTTAATATTAAACTATAAGGTGCCAGAGGTCATTAAAAATCTCATTTTTGAGCGACCTCCTTGGCATTTATCTTAATAGAATCAAGAGAGTATTGGTTTGGGTTGCTTTATTTGTTTCTAGTCTAGCCATGGAGCTGATGTATGTTATTATCAAACGATAAGTTGTTGGCATGTCATCAATAATATGTCAATATTATTATTACGAACAAAACATATCAACGCAACTTGCTTTAGATGCCTAAGAAAATTGGCAACATAACAATTTTACAAATTTTAATAGCTGAAATGATCAATTTTTAGTATGATGTGAAGATATGATTGTTATGTCGTTAAGATATAATTTTAATCGAAATTATATTTCTATTCATTTTAGCCTTTTTTTTTTCTTTTCTATTGTGTTTTTCTCCTTAAATATCTAAACAACATATTAATGATAAAGAATCTAGAAGGGACTTTTAAGAAGCCACTAGTCATGGAAGCTAGTGTGACCAATGCGTCAATATAATACTCACTCTCTATTGAGCAGCTATATTGTCACATCCCGAACCCGGAGTCAGTAATAAAAACTCAAATCCAAATTCGAAACATGAGTTAAAAACTAAATAATTAAAAGGAAATTGAAACAAGTTGGAAAATAAATTCCTCCTATAAAAATAATTCATGATTCTTAAACAAATCAAGAATTCTTTACAACCTACAATAAATAGAGTGATGAGCCTGTAAATCTCTTTAAATCTCTTTAAACAAATCATGTAAATCTCTGTATCTATATCCTCATGGAGAAAACACTAACCACATTTCATAATGCTGCTATCAATCGCAAGACGTTTTGAGATAAACCTTGTGTCGTAAGGCTTGCATCATATCGCACTATTTCATTCATCTCATAATGCTTCCTTTCCCACTTGTAACACAATAAGGTTACCTTGGGCAGTGTAGGAACGACAGGACCAATACATACTTTGGTAAGGAATTTGACCTGGATATCGACGGATAGCCAATCAATCTTTCTTGGCCTGGAGCACGACAGCTCACTCAGTTCGTAGGATTCACTTCCCTAGAAGAGGAAGGCACAGTACAAATTGAATCTACACTTGATTGCTGTCTCAAATTATTTCCATCTCATGAGATTAATCCGGATTTCTCCCAAGACTTAAAGTTCTTGGTCCAGAATACTAGTTTAGATGAGCTAAATGGAATTGAAATGAGATTATCATCAATGATATTTTCACTTATATGGTAGTTACCGGCATAAATGAAAAGTGACGATATCGAACCATGTTCTGTTGATTAAGTGACAACGTAGAACTGATTGGACAACTAAAGTAGGGCGTCCAAACCGTCCAACAGGGGTGGCACACCCACCAGGGATGTTGACTCGACGTCCGTTAAGTATGTCTATCCTTGCAAGCATGTTTGCAGCTGGTATATGATCTCGTCATTTTAGCTAAATCAGAGGAATGCGTCTGGGGCAACATTCTGAAAGCTAGAATTCATCGTACTTGCTTATTACACTTGTGCGGTACGGGGATCAAGATAAGACATAATGGGCAACATCCATGCAAATTCGCGCCGTTCTCCAGGAACGTTGACGTTTTTATCTCCCCCTAACGGCGGGAAAACTGCCTCATTAAAGTGACAACCCGCAAATGGGGCGGTAAAGAGATTGCGTGCAAGGGCTCTAAGAGAGCTAGTGTGAAGGAGAATCATGGTCGACAAAAGATACACATCCTTCTTAAAGGACCCATGGTGGTACGTTGCGACGGCGCAACTTGGCACATGGAATGCACACCCAAATGCGTAAATACGAAAATCATTAGGTTCGTACCCAGTAACCAACAGTAACGTCATATAGGTTGGGTGGCAATGGGCCTCTAGGTGGACCAACATAGCTGCGTACAAGGATTGCATAGCCCTAGGCAAAAACTGAAAACTTGGTACGTTTACCAAAATTCGAGCGATCATTTAAATTGCGCTTTATGATCACTAGGCCAGACTATTTGGGGTGAACATGGGAATTCAATGCTCACTTATAAACCCAAAATACATGCAATACTTTATCGAAAACCATCGATATAAACTCTTCGGCATTATCTAGTCTCCAGAACATTAAGGGATAAGTAGGGTGGTGAACCCTTAATCGGCCATGAGGTTTAGCAGCAATGTGTGTGGACAAACATGTGACCAGTTTGTCGATTCATCAACCAAAACCATAAGTATTTATATGGTCCGCATTTTGGTTGGATTAGTCCACATATATTCCCTTGAATCCACTGTGAAAAGAGAGTCGTGTCATATCTTTGCGAGGAATGATATAGAAAATCAATTTCCTTAATGAGCATGCTTGGCAAAGTGTGCTTGTAGGCATAATATCCTTACTTCAGATAAGGAGATGCGTTGTAGCATCATTGTTCGACCTAAGTGTCCCAAAAGGTCGTGTCAAAGCAAGTAAACTGCTCAATCACCAGGCTCCAAGTCGGCCACATGTGGTGTATTCCCTGTTAGAAGACAACCCATTGGCCCCAAATCAAAGCTTCAGGCTCATTTTTGGAGATGGTGCAAAGATTCACTCTATTTTCTTCAATGGTTTCATTTATGATCATTGTCATCTCAAATATCCTTAAAAACTCAACATCAGGGAGAATTTAAGGTCCTTTAAATGGTAATTCAGTACCATACAACGAGGAGCGTGCCAAATGCTCTTAATCAGGTTGGATAGACCTGAAGTTGTTGTTGGAGATGTGATTTAGGTGTAAAGTTAGTGCGCATAGTATGCATTCATCTAGACAACTAACTTTCCCACATTCCAACCTAATCATGTGTTTAATTAAATCGGTCACATGTATTAAGAAACATGATTCAATTAACTCATATTCGAGGACAATATCAATAAGATTATCCATAAGTAAAACATACACCAAACTTGAATCCAAGAACATGGAAAAATGTTCACAAAGTAAATGGTTTACTAAGGGGATTCGGCCAACAAGGCCATCCATGTCAAAATTCGGCTCTTCCAACGGTGTTTGGTGGAGCAAAAATTAGTCTCACATATTGACTACTAGAATGGTACTCCTTAACAACATTGGTAGGGGCACAAACAAGTGCATAACCAATGATCTATTTCATCAAGATGGAAGAAGATTCTACTGGGTTAAGGTTCGGGAATATTATCCCTAATTCTTGAAGTTTTACGTCTTAGGTGCCAAGGATCACGCTTCGGGCATGATGCCACACCTTGGCAGGCCTTGATTCTACCATATGTTTGTGGTAGTAATCAGATCCGAGAATGTGGTAAACTTCCGCTTTCTATACTGCTGCTTCAGGGGCAAGTTAGAAACATGAAAGAACGAGAAAAATATTATCCAGTCAAAATTCAATCGGATTTATAAACTTCAGAATTGTACTCATTCATGGACGTAATCTTGGTGTGCTTTGAGCAATATGTTGCATGACCACACAGTTCGTAGAAGCGAGCCAAAGAGCCATGGAATCCTCGTTCGGGAGGTATTCCATTAATAATGCTTCGGGCATAAGTCTTCGAATGAAGATCATGGCGGAGGCTTATTCAACTCTTCCTTGCCATTGTTGGCTTCAATGGTTTCTCAGCTTCTTGATAGTCAATTGTAGATTCACGTCTTGTACCCCACATGCAGTGGTTTCTATTAGAAACGTCCAAATCAGGAAAATCGAACTTGTTACGGTACGACAATCCACTGAATGGAGGGAACAAGATTGTGATTGGTGCTATGAGAATGAGTCATCCTTAAGCATCAAAGTTAGAACATTCGAGTTCTAAGACATGGTTTTCATGAAAAAAAACGTCGGGTTTTCATGGGTGTATTGTTTTATGAAAACTTGGGGTTTGGAAGGCACTAAATTTGAAACTACAGGTTCAATTTAGTTGATGAACGTTTAGTTCATAAAAGAAAGGTTCTTGCAAGAAACACATAATGCAATATACAACTAAGTGTAGTGGATTTGAGGTTCTTCGGGAACTCAAGTGTAAGAGCTTCGTTACTACGAAAGTATGTGATGGTTTAAAGTATAAAAATAAATTATTGAATCATTAATGCCCAAAAGTGATCTTCAAGTCAATAATTTTGGATTCATTATCAAATTAATGGATTGCAGGTCACTTTTAATTAATTCAATAAATCAAGCCATACAAAGTCGATTGTAGAATCTAAATAATATTTAAATAACATTATCGGATCGGAAAAATAGCATAGCCCAAAAAGGGTTGGGTGCCACGAGCAAAAAGGGCTGGTTGGCTGCTATAAGTAGTCCGCAGGGTGGCTGCAGGCCATAGGTCCAAGGGGTAAGCCCAAAGGCTTACGTGAATTGGAGAGAGACCTCAGTCAAAGCTAGGTTTCATGTTTGGGCTGAGATGGGTGCACACGTAGGTCTAGCGAAAGCTGGCCTGTAGGTTTGGGCACGCGAGGGCAAAGCCCTTGTGGGCTGGTGTGGGTCGTGGGAAAATCCCAATCAACTGGGCTGGATTGGATAAGGGGTTGCAGGGCAACATAAGGCCTAGCAAGCATAGGAGCTTGCTAGCAGGCGGGCCAAGGCAGCATGATTGGGCTCGAGGCTTCAGGCCCTGTCGAGATAAACCCTAGGCTGAGGCCTGGTTGCTGTGAGGGTCAACTAGGCTTCAAGCCAGCAACCTTGCCAATTATGGTGGTGCGGTGGGGTGCCACGAGCAAAAAGGGCTGGTTGGTTGCTATAAGCAACCCGTGGGGTGGCTGCAAGCCACAGGTCCA